TTTCACCGCATCATGACATGCAATGTTACAAACTGTCTGGGTGCTTCTCTAAAGCCCCCAAGCCCCGTAATCTGCTTAAGCGAGCAATCCAATAATTAAAAGTCATGAAATGTATATATTAGTTTCTAATCACCAAGCCATTACAGATCAGATATTTGCTATGCTACCGCGTGTTTCCTAGCAATAATATGATAAGATCAATGTATATTTCTTGTGTTTACTGAACATTTCGCACGTACTTATGCTGGTTTACATGGGTACTGTGGTACTAATTATATGGGGTTTTCTTTATTGCCTCTATCGGTTAATAACTAGAGTTGTTTTCGACCAAGGCAGCAATGTGAGTTAGTACTGCGTACTGCTGGAGAGAATTTGGCTCATTATCTGCTCCTTTAACATATCCACTTGTCGTAACGTGTGTCTCAGATTAGCACCATTCACCTATCAGCCTCGTCCTTAAGAACATCCGCTCGATAATGCTGGACCAGTTGCAACAATTATAGCATTAGTAGTCGATAAATTTCGAACAAATTCCTTGAAAACTATATAACTTATCCAGATATGACGCAGCCCGAATCTTCTTGAAACGATTAAGGACAAATTTCGCGTCCTAAATCATACTTATATTTTATTTTGGTACGTTGTAACGGCAATTTACTGCACCAGTTCAATGTAAATCACTTTTAAGATGACTTAGAGCAGTTTAAATGGGACATTTTCGGATATATTTAGATAATGGCCTGCCTTTTATTAAGCGCTTATTGTAAACCTGTTTGTGACTGTTTGTTTATATTTAACCCTTCGTTTGGGTGAAACTCCCAGTGGAAACTAGCTGGCAGATTCACATAAAAGTTGCAGGTTTCATTCAGCTGATTATCGAGCTAGTCAAACATAAAATTAGTTTGAGACCAAATGCAGTAAGTAAATTGGAATCGAAAATGCGATTGAAAAGGCTTGCGAAATTCAACAAATCCAGTCTAGGCTTCGTGTTTTAGATATTATGCGTGTTTCGCAATTGTTGCATACCTAAATGAGGTAATAATAATCGTCCTGAGAACTATTTGCCGTTTCACGACATTTTTCCACATTTCTGTGAGAAATCGGCATTTTATTCCCATTTCGAAACAAATCTAGGCCCGAGTGGGACATTTTCACAATGCCACAGTTGCACTCAATCGCAACCATCGAAAAGTGGTTTAAAAATCCACAATCAATAAATTGTTTAAAATTTTCTGGTCGATTTTTCATAGATACATTTTTTGTTCGCTTTGGACTTGTATTACTTCTAAGTTCAAAAATGAGAATGGAAAAGCTAAAGCAAAATCAGAATTAAGAGCGATTCAAACGGCATCCAGAAGTCCAGATTTGTCAGGCCTATTTTTTCTATAGACGCTGAAAATTTCCAAGTTAAGTTAGGACTTTTTAGAATAGCGCCTGCAATTGAAAGGGAAAACGCATTTTTACAACAGAATTTGGAAAATGTGCAAAAAGCAGAATTCAGTGTGATTTGAATAAATCTCTCAGATTGTTCAGACTCGCTTCTTCTAAATTAGAAATTAGGAATTTTTAATTTAGAAGAATAGAGGATAGGGAGTCTGCAGTCCCAACTCATTTTTACCACAGAATTGAAAAACGTGCAAAAATAAGAATTAAGTGCCATTAGACAAAAACTGGCAGCTTTTTCAGATTCACATTTCTTCCATGAACGGTGAAAATTTGACGTTGCGGTTTACTCTGGATAAGAAGTTACGGATTTTTAGAATGAAGGCGCAATTGGGAAAAAATGCACATTTTTACACAATATTCTGCAATGGGCGCAAAAATTAATATTGCATGCGATTAAAACAGACTCAGGTTTCTTCTAGGGACTGTGAAAAGTTGCAGCTCATATGTGCTCTACATTAGATGTTAGAAATGTTTCAAGCATTTAACACTAGCATTTATAAAATGCGTAAGTATAAATCAGAATTCAGAGTGATTCGAATAAAACTATCCGACTTTATTGTGGTATTGTCTAGAGTTATGTTGCCTCTATGAGGTTCGCTCTGGATCAGAAGTTACGGGTTTTCATTCAGCATTTGCAAAGTGCGCAAAAATTAAACTTACGACCAATTGGACTAAAACTCTCATATGTTCCAGACACACCTTTCTTCTTCGGGGTGCGAACATTTGATGTTGGCGTTCGTTCTGGATAAAAAGTTAGGAATTTTTGAAGTAGAGCCGTCAATTGGGAAGAATCACTCATTTTAAGACCAGCACTTACAAAGTGCGCAAAAATCACGATCAAGATTAAGTGCTGTTCGAGTAACACTCTTGGACTTTCGTAACTCGTGTTTCTTCTATCGACTCTGAACATTTAAAGTTGGGACCTGCTCCGGAAGAGAAGTTAGGAATTTTTAGAAAAGACCCTTCAATTGGGAAGAAACACTCATTTTAACACCAGCACTTACAAAGTGCGCAAAAATCACACTTACCTCCGATTTGAATAAAACTCTCGTATTTTTCGGGCTGTGAAAATTGCAAGTTATGAATTGCTCTGGATGAGAAGTTAGACATTTTTAAAGTAGGGACTGCTTTTGGGAAAAGTCGCCTATTTTTACAACAGCCTTTACAAGGTGCGCAAAAATCAGACTTAAACCTGATTCGAATAAAACTCTCGGATATTTCAGACTCACATTCCGTGTATGGACTGTGAAAACTTGAAGTCGGGGTTTGCTCTACATGAAATGCTAGGAATTTTTTAAATAAAGAGAAGTAAAGAACTTCCGTTAACTGAAGCCTTTAGAGGATTGTCAACCGATCGACTACAAGGCAAAAGAAAACACTTTGCAATCATATTGACCAAATAGCGATAATTGATGATTCCAAAGCAACGCCAACGCAATAAACAGTTCTGAATCTGATGTCGACATTGTTGGAAAAAACTTCAGTTATGTCACAATGCCTTCAGCAAACAATAAATCAGAAATTTCGCCGTCGAGTATTGTCAGTAAGTAGGTAGTTGAAAGCTTTGCCAATTTAAAATTCACGGTTGAATAGGACCTCACTTCAACTCGCTGGTTTGTCATAATAATCGCCGGGATTTTCTAATTACACATGGGATCGGTCTAAAGTGTGAAGAGATTTTCAAAGTTCATCCGTATGTTGTATAAGTGGCGAATGGTTCTGGTTGTTCCACGTGTCGTCTAAGTGGTGGAGTCATTGAATTGAATTTGATCTGAAGTTGAAGCGAAATACCGCCAATCGGCCAAAGTAATTTCGATGAAAGACTCACTTAATTACGATGCCTCAGCAGCGGATAACGAAATTACACCGTAAAAATCCGGACCGTTTCTCTTGAAACCTAAATCATTACATCAAATGACTTGAAATACCTTGGCGCACGGTAGTGAAAGAAGACTGAAAGAAGCAAACATTAATAATGGCTTAGGTGCAATTAATCAGAAGTCATATTAAACAGTAGCCCTGCATTTTCTTCGGATACCGTGTCGGCAGACGCAGATTGTTTGAATATTCCCGCAGAGGACGCAGCAACTCGTGTATTTTGCGGATTCCGCACTTTGTCATCCGGTTAAATTATGGACCAGTCGGAACACCGCATGTTTTGCTTACTTTATTAAGAAAACTTTGTTTCATGCTGCGACTTGCTGCCATTTTTCTTCAATTACTTTATGGGCCGACCTGCGACCGCTCTTCGTTCGCAAAGTCGCACTATTTCACTTTTCTTTCATTTTTTTCGCAGGCTTAAGCTCAAACTGGATTTATTCTGAATCTCTTCATATGAAATCGATCTGGATTATTATTATAATTCTACGTTTTCAAGAATCCACGAATGACGCTATTTTCACTTTCTTAGGTCTTTTATCAGCTTGATTACTGGAGAACTATCTCGATCTCGACTCGATCAACTTATTTTTATATACGTATGTAATTGTACTTTTTATTCTCGAATTGATTGCGCAAATTTAAGAGAGTTTTTAGCGTCCAAATCGCTTCGCTGTGCAAAACCAACCTTATTTATTATGCCCTCATGTTCAGACCAGCTGAAAACTTCCACCAGCCCGTATATTGAACTCATTTTTGTTCCAACCGACAACTTTTCCATACAAAGCATTATTAATATTTTGCTTTATTGACGAGTAATTTCCGCTTAATCCTATTGTCGATTTTCTTTGTTTAACCAATGCTTTAAGAAGTGTTTCTGCCTTAGAGCTAATATAATATATTATAATGAATATAATTTCTCTTTGTTGCTAAATTATCACTAATCGATAAGGAAAATACCAACTTAAAAACAACTCTTGTGAACTTTAAAAAGCTTTTGTCAAGTAATTGCTATAAGTTTCCGTTGAAAGAAATTGAAATGTGTCTTAAAAACCAATAAAAGCATTTTGACCAAAATTAGTGTTGATATTTTAACCGGTTCTAATCAATAAAATATAACAAATTCCATTTCGAAAGCTGAAGTGTTGAAAATGATCACCAACATTTTTACTTGTACTGAACCTGTAGGAATTTTATTATTATTCCGCAAATTTTGTAAATTCTATTTGTGTTTCTTTATTTAACTAAACTTACGTGCCTTTTTCCGAGCGCAATCTAAAACTAGCAAAAAAATATCCAAATTTCATAACAATAAATCCCAGTAATTTTGTATTCTCATAAACTAGTGGGTTTTTTTTAAATGGAAAACTTCAAAGTTCTAATTCCAGCAGAAAAAGAAGGTAAACAAGACAAAAACCAAACGGTTTCTGCTAATCGCAAAAGGACACACATTTTTTTCGATATAAATTCTGAGTTTATGAGATTCAGAAAACGTAATTACAATATAAAAAAAAACGATTTACAAACAAGGTCCTGTTTTGTTAAATAATTAGTATAACTTCAAAATGTGTTTTTTTTAAATGACTAAAGCACCACTTGAATAAAGGCAGATTTTAGGCCTCACAAATGGCAATTTTCCGGGAAACCAGCCGGAGCTAAATTTCTATAAACTTGCATAATTTTCACATTGGGGTGTTTGGAAATTGGGGGCAAAAAATTAGATCTCCACCTGCTTTGTTTCAGTCGGCAAGAATTTTTGTTATATTATCAGCGTTTTCTCCAAATCTGCCGATTTGCAGCTTCATTTTGAAATTTCCTGAAAAGTCAGTGTAAATATTTGGTCAAAAATATCATATTTGGTTGCATTTTACAAGATTTACATATTGCGGCTTAGGAACCAACCAACAGTTACCAACTTAGCTTAGGAACCAACCAAAAAAACGCAGTTAAATAAAGCAAAGCTTCACTAAAATTCAAGTGCATATAGTAAAGAATCACATAAGTGATTTTGGAGTGATTAGGCCGCTAGAAAAAAGTCCTTTTTACCACGGTGTACAAGCCTGAAAAACTCAACAGCTTGGCGTAATGGTTGCGAAATTTTACTGCAAAAAATTTCATAAATAATGCTCAAAAATGGAAATTTGTACTTTACTTAAGCTTACTAATTTACCGTTTTAGTTATCAGATGTAACAAGCCAATGCATGATGGTTTTCGAATTTGTACGAATAATTACACGTTCGTGCGTTCGAAATTATATGTTTGTTAGTTATAAATAGAAACCTAAATGGCGTAACCGCATTAATTAATCTATTTTAAATAATTGCCTACTTACGCATAATTAACCAATCAAATCAAATTAATTTTTTTTATAGATCTTCTAACCCCAACCGAAATGATCACTTTTCATATGGAGAATTCCATATTTTATATAACCACTGCAACAAACAGACACATTCGAATAACTGCATTAATTTCAAATTTTACGGCCCAGAACCTATTTCCTTATTATTTTTGAATAAATAATAAACTCACGATTTATATGCAATAAAGCATAATAAAATCCCACGATAAAATGCAAAAACGCCATGTTTCACATGGACACCAACACTAACTTGATTGGCTCATTAACCAGCGCTATTAAACACAGTATTTAATTTTTAATTAACGAAAATTTGCCAATTATTGAGTGATACAGTTCAACTACCTACTCTGCAAAAATAATGTCCAAAAATCTGCCTAAAACTGGCAGTGGTGCTTGAAAATTTGACGTAGATCCACACAAGAAGATGCAAATAAACTATAATTGCGTAACAAAACGGAAAAAATATCACAATTAACCATTTCTAAATGCAAATAGCCGTAGACATTGTAGTAAATTTGCCGTTTGACTATTACTATGTGTATTTCCTGTTATATGCTGCCATTTAATAATGTATCATCCTGATATATACGCAATTAAATCGCTTCAATTATAACAAAACCAAAACCGTTTCCGATCGGACAACTTTTTAACGATCCGTTCAACGACCCGATCTCTCGTAAATCATTAATATTTCCCAAAAATTTAGAATTTATGAAATGTTAAATAACAACAATTACCAATGATTTACAACCGACAAGGAACAGAGCAGAGCTCATAAAATATTAATTCAATTTAAATTACTGTAGGCTACAGTAAAAAATGTAAAGTGTAGGTATATGGGAAACACGAATTTTAGGCAAAACGTGTTAAAAAGGACGCTAGAAATGAAACTAATAATTTGGTGGGTTTGGAACAAGCAAATATGTGCCGAATTTAATCACATTCTAATCAAGCCTTGGTTGTTTTATTTTTTGGTTGTTAATATTCATAAACAACCTGTTCTTTATAGGAATTTTATTACCAAATTAGTATTTTATATCCAAGCGATATATTAGCTTAAACGTTTTCTTTTTATTATTTAAAATTGAGTTCAATAATTTATTCATAGTGAAGGCTATTTTACGAGTTCATATGGGAAATTGTGATATTCATAGCCCTGATTTTATGGCTTGTTTTTTATCGGCAATAAATTACGTTTGACTAATAATAATAGGAAGCCGAAGCGGCTGTAAACCGTATAACTATATAATTGTGACAATATTACGCACATTAAATGGTAATTGATTGTAAAAAAATGCCGATTAGTGTCAGGGCTATTGATAAGGGTCATAAAACTCAAGAAAACACTGCAAATCAATCGAACTAGATCCATGGAAAATGCGATTCAAGTTCAGCTTTATTTTAAGGATTCCATTAAAAAGTGACCCAAAACCGGTCCATTTTATAGATACGACTGACCCATTTACCGAAAGTGAACTTAATATCGTGTCATTACAACCGGTCCTTCGGTCAAGGACCAGCACCAATGAGAACAAAAGTGTATTCAACTGCATAAATTATGTTGAAAATTTCAGCTTGAAAATACGACTTAAAAGCACTGGTTTGAACGCTTAACAGGTTGGCATCTGTAATCTTCCCAATCTTTTCTGGTTTAATTCAAATTGACGATACTGTTATTGAAACTTTGTTGTTGAACTCTGATCTGACATGCTATCAGCCAGCTAGAACAATTCAACTTTAGTCGTCTTTCGGTGAAAATAGATGATTTTCTGGTGAATACAGCAAAATATTAATTAATCCCTGGCACCGATTGAATGCTTGTTTGACCTTCTTCAGCCCAGCTACTGGCTATCAAGTCCCAGAAAAAAACGTTAAAATCCATCGAAACACGTTTTCGCTTTCACATCAAAACAATAGTAGTACATTAAATAATGTCCAGAGTCAATATTTGAAGACGATTTGAATAAACACAGTTTCATAAGTAAATACTCGACAAGTCGAGCCGAACAATTCAAAATATATAGGAACCTGTTCTGCCGACTAGCAAATAAACTACTCCATCCTCACAGCTATTATTTTTGTCTGTTTTGTTCGTTTTGATGCGCTGGAAAGAGATGCGACCTGTCCGTTTGAGTATTCAAACATTTCGTAAGTAAATTTAAATTTCCTTCGACAGGCTCTTTGATGTTACCCACTACTGTACACGACACGAATGTTGAAAATACCCAAGCGGATCTGATGGTTTCGGCTCGATGTTCGAGAACGTTTCACTCGAAAAGAGCAAAATTGAGGAAAACCAAAGGAATAAATACAGACAGTGAAGAAAAAGTTGCCTTAGACAACGCAATAATGTGGCAAGCAAAAACACTCAAATGGCGAAGCGCGAACAGACAACAGAAAGAGTATTTTGGGTGAAACTAAACTATGGCAGGCAAACAGCACAAACTGAGCAAACCACATATAAAGGGACACTCAGGGAAAATTCCATCGAGAGCTCAAAACGCTCGAGAGGAAGAAGAAAATGTGAAATCAGCAGCATAGAAAACGCAATATGCGTCACAAAAAGGGAAACGAAGTTGCATGCAAAATTACTAAATGGGAAAAGTAGAAAGTCAATTAAAACAGTTGGAAGCAAGCAAAAGTACTGAGAGTAAAATTAGCTCAATGAGATCAACTACTATGAAGAAGCAACTAATTGTGTTTGCAGAAATGTTCCTTATTACCTCACTATCAAGCCCTGAAGTGATTATGTCAGATGCTAATGGTATAATTGCTGGAACATGATTTTGCTCCATGACTATTATTAGGCATTCTAGACATTAAGTAGCAGCATCAATTTGTGCAACTCCGACTACCTAAGAAGATGTAGAAGACATCGGCAATAGATGTAAAAGATGAAGCAAAGTCCCAGAAAATTAATTATTAAAAAAATGTCAACTGACCAACAGAATGAACATTACACAAACACAAAAATGATGTTTTTTGAAGCTAAAACCTCCTACAAAATTTAAGACAAAAATTCGATATACTGGGGTGCATAAAAAAAATTAACTTTTGCGGCAAAAATGCAAGTTTATTCATAGATCAGTTGGGAATATTTGCGGTTTTTCCGTAAAAACAATAAGAAAATGAGGTTTTTCCGAAACGGTTGCAATTTGGACATCACTCCAAACCTCCAAAGGGCATTTTCCCATTCAAAACCGCGGAACTAATCAGAATAATTGTCGCTTGAACTTCATTGTTGAATCATTGAAAAACATTGTTAACGATAATTTAAATTAAGACCAGATTTAATTCTTCCATCTTCAGCCAAATACGATAGTTGGATCACTTAAATCGAAGTTTTCTACCTCAAAGAACGCAAAAATTGCGGTTCTAAGACACCAATTACCAGTCTCAATTCGCCGCTAAATCCTCAGAAGTGGCATCTTTGAGGTTTTCTTATATAAAAATGATCAGAAAACTTGTGGCGGCCACTCAGAAGTGCTTTTTCCATTTTTTTCCTAAAAAGCAGTTCAGGTTCATTCGTGCAAAGCATTTGCTTTGCGTAATGCTCAACGCTCTTAATCGTGCAGAAAAAAAGCCAGAATCCTCCTTAATTAAACCAACACCGATCTTCTTAATTTCTGCTGTTTCTTATATTTTGGTGCTTGATTTTTGTGCAGTTGACGCTTTAGAAGATCATTTTCGGCTTCAAACTACACAAGTCAAGTAATGCACTTCTGAAGCTCTAATGAGAAGCTAACTTTTACAAGCCGTATTTTTGAGTTATTTGGCAGCAAAAACTTCAGAAAAAACATTGCTTTAGAACAACCGAACTCAGAAACGTGATGCCAAGACAAAGCAAATGCTCAAATAACGCGACTTGTTCCTGAAATTAAGGCAGGCTTAAATGTGATTATCACAGATTTTTGTTGGTTTTTTTTTGGTGAATTAGTGACTTTAGGCTCAAGTAGTTAGAAAAGCAATAGAGACTCGGAAGAGTTTTCAATGTTGCTTGCACGATGCTCAGCGAGAGGCTCAAACTAAGAGGAATAAATCAATAATTTCAAACTGCAATCAAACGCGCAAATAATTGTGTTGTTTAGTGGAAATATTTCCTGCTTTTCTTGTCAAAATGGTATATAAACATTTTACCTGTTTTTGAGGCAAGTTAGCGATTGTTCTGAAGAACCTTGACGAAATCGGTCGGTTCAACTGAACGACTCATCAAAATAAACAGTTCCACACAAATTACCCCATATTTCGAACTGGATAAATTCTGATTCCTTAAAGCGATTTAGTTTATCATTGAAGACTTATTTGTGTTCTGTTAGTCCATGTTGCGGTTAAAATTACGCATCAGGGAATTTCTACAGGGTGGTAAATAAAAACTGTAAAAAAGTTAAAAATGTACCAAATAGCGCGACACATTAAAAATGTGCCAAATGAGAATTTCCTCCGAAATCTGTGATTATGGAAGATTCTCAACCAACTCAAGGTATTTGCTTCACTCATGATCTCTCAATGGGACTGTGAAGTTTAAGCTTCCAAATAAACCCTAGATTTGTTGTTTGMASAGAGAAGAKAAGTTGAAGAGAAAAAATTATCACTGYTAGCCCAGAAAGTTGACTGTTTTAAGACATCGTATTTTGTACAAAGGAAAACGCGCGGAATTTTCASSAATTTTGCATTGYTTCAYTTGGCACCCTGTAGAAACTTTACCCGAATCACCAGTTTTTCAGCCGAAAAAGAGTCGCACTAAACTCTTCAAACCGAAACCAAKCGCTCAAGCAACCAAAATTAAACCAAATTTGCCGGTGCAACGTTGATGTTGTTGAGCAGTTTATTTATAGGAGAAACAGAAAACATCTCTACTCAATATAAAATTATACTAAAATTGATTTCTAACGCAGATAAAGAGATTGACGGGCGGAAGTGTGCGTCGTGTAGAACATGGGGTACATGAATTATGTGCCAGCTTAACTTCAAAATAATATCAATATTAATTCAAAGCTGTATGTTGCATATTAAAAGCAAACGAATGAACTAAATTAATTAAGTTGCAAACTAAATCACAAATTGAATATGGAAGAACTTCTTATAAATCCAGCTATTCGAGTGTGGTTTTTGCAAGTTTTCCTGAAATAAACCACGTCTGGGTTATGCATTTATATGCTGATTTTGCACTCAATTGGAAATTACATCTGCTTTTAATCAAAAGAAACGTGCCACGCAACAGTGGCTCTATTTGCATTTCGTCTAGGAGAAAGGAAGATTATTATGATTTTAAGTACGTAAATCTGCAAAACCTACACATTTGGAGATTAATTTATGATAACTTGTCTACAACATTCACGTCTCTAGTCTAAGGCGGTGGTTTAAGACGCAATTATAATTTTGGTCCTTCGAGCCGGAATTTCCAATAAACAGCAAATTCCAACAAGAAAATAGCTGAATTGTATTTAATGATTAATCATGAGCCAGTTCAGGGATAATTATTCCTATGTTATTTTTACACACCGAAGAAAATTCCCAGCGCTTTGCGCCATAGCTGCTGATTCAAAGTAACAAATGGCCGGGATTAAAACGGTACGAAGGTTGTTTTAAGCAATTTCAAAACCTTTCATATCGTAATGCGACTTAATTCGTCTCGACGTGCCGTTAAATATTTAACATGGAACCGAAAAAACAACGAAGCAAACTCGATCTGCCACATGAAACGAATGCTGCTCTCGTTGTAAATCAGGTGAAATTTTTTTCACCAAACGAAAATGTTTAGTTTACACTCGAGGTATTAACTAGGTGATATGGTAATTTCATCAACCAGTTCCGATCTTCGATCAACGAATTTCTAACAAGGTTGTGCTGTTTTTTTGTTGAGGCTTGGGGAGCATTAGCGATGAGCAAAGCAGGACCAAAACTAAGACTAGAAAAAATTCACTAAATGCTTAACTTACATATTGTAATCCTTCTTGCAGTAGATGTTTCCATCGCGGGAAAAACACGTAACATCACCATCCAAAGTATTTCGACACTGACAACACCTCAAGCATTTGGCATGCCATCGCCTTTCCACAGCTTGAAGGTAGTATCGGTCCCTTATTTTATTACCACAACCCGCACAAATTGCAAATCCTCCAATTTCCTCGGCACAACTGAAAGACGAAACATTGACTATTTTACAAGACAAAAAACAGTAAATAGGGTATGAAGCACTGACTGGTTTTGCAATCAACAGTGCCTCCAAAATGATAAGACATCAACTCAAGAGGAAAGAGCTTGCAGGAAAGTATTCAAGGCAAAAAGTGTAACTAAATCAAATTTTCTTGTGCAGCCTCTTCACTTTCCACTTCTGTAAGTATAATTAGGTGTAGATGATTTTTACCTGGATGGTGGAGTCGGAGGCGTGGATGGTGTTGTATCTGGCTCGATTTTAGGAATGTGATGATCAAAAGACGATCCAGGTCTTCGCAGTTCTGGCGGAGTAATCGACTGGACGGGTCTTGATGGGGGGCATGGAGTCGATCTACACGTTTCGTGCAGCTGAGGTCGACAAGTGTCCGAACCGCATGATTGGAGCACTGAAAAACAAGTTGCAACTGAAACTGTCCTAGTTTCGGAAATTTGACCAATTTCAATCACCAAACTGTGCAGGACAAAGTATGGTTTACTGCAGCTCGAAAAGGAGTTGAATTTGAATACGTTTTCCATGCCACAGCCAATTTATGTCATCATTCATCTTCAGCTTCAGAATGAGATTTTTTTGTATATAGTCGATCGCTGTCGTATACTTTGTATCAATGTTGAAACTCCACGTTTCAACAGCGTTGAATGAATCCTTATTTAGTCATCTAGGTATTTAAAGATTGATGGCTCGCTAATGATCTGTAACTCTTTGGAAAACCGGCTTTTTCCACCGCTCGGTATACACCTAGTTTATTAATTAGTCTGTTTGTACTTGGATTGCTACTTTGTGCAAGTGTGACAGTCAGGAAATTGGCAGCTAATTAAATTCGTTTCAAATTTGCAAAAGGTTTTGGGCATATTTAGGTAGATGTTTTTTTAAACCACTTCGTTTTCAATCGCATATTTGAATAATTTATGTGTGATGCACTTGGATGTTTGGTTGTAGGTGTTTTACGGGTTTTGAGATTGAATTTTTCCGTGAAACTGGTTAGTTTGGGTAAGTTTGGATGCAAAAATGTGGATTTTTTTCGACTTATTTTTGCCTAAGTAGATTTAATCAGAAATTCCAAAGCTCTATAGAAAGTGGCAAGATTTTGGAATGTCGTTACTTACAGAATGAATCTGATGAATTATTTCGCCTAGAAGGTCCCGCCTGAAGGGGATTAAGATATTGTTGAGAAAGGAGAATAAAAATGGAAAATATCGTTCTAAATTGTTCTAAAAAAGTTAATTTCGGAAAAAAATCTATATTTTCCAACATATGTAGATATCTAGATTAGGAAAGCATCTATATAATTTTTCGGAATCGTTTGATTTTCAATCCGTATTTATATTTTGCAACTTTTAGTTTGTTTCTAACTACAAACAGCTTTTTACTCCACTTTACTGTGCAAACTTACTGATTAGTGTCTTTTAAGCTTCGTTTACATTTCGTTTAT